TTCTTTATTCATGTACTTTATTCTTGTCTCTGTCCCTTGTAGTTTGAATTTATTGCATGCACTGTTCTATTGATTTAATTAAGTTATTCCATTTTGGATGTTGTCAATTTTACGATTTAGTAACTTTATTAGGAACATTTTTTGAAGTTGATTTGCAAGATTAGATGTTTATATGTGGGTCAAAACAGCGCTTAAATTTGTTCTGTTTCCTTTGCATATACAATGACTTTTGTAAATGTGATTCAATATGGACACCAAATTGACATATGTTAATGCAATTGAATCTGGTCTTCTCCACACGAATCAGTTTAAATTTGAAAATTGATTTTTTTTTTCATTTTGGCCTTCTTTCACCCTGATTAAAACGATTTTTTAATTAAGTGAATACTACGAAAAACAATTCATTTCTGTAATTAAATGAGCTATTTCAGGCAAGAATAAAACAAGACTACATTCAAGCTTGTAAATTAGACCTGTTTTAATGGTTTACATTTACAATGATTCTTTGGGTAACTATCCAAGTAATACAATTAAGTAAAGCTTACTTAAGTTTCTGAAAGGAGAGGTTTCTATTCTTATAAGTTAGGTTTTTCACTTGCCATGAGGCCTGCTCTATGAAATGGTTGACCATATTTTACCTGTTTTAAATAATGACTGTTAAAGTAATTTAAAGAATGACTGTTTGTAATAATGGTTTACACACACAGCATTGTTGATTTACAAAAACATCAAGCAAACATAATCCTGTTACACTACTACACTTACTTTTGGTTTTATTGTAAAATTAAATAAAGAAAACGTGTTAATCAGAAATATTTTATGACGTACTTTAAAAAATAAAGATGATTTACTATTCAAAAATGTTTTATATTGTATATGTTTTATATTTTTTTATATTGGTCTTATACTTTATATTTTTCAAATTTTCGTAGTGTATTTATTAATTCTGGTACTTTTATCATAACCCGACATATCAACCATTTGGCAGAGGTTGATATTTATAAATTATGGGATGTGTTGAATAAAATGCATTGTGTTAACGAGAGACATTAGCAGGGCTGGAGTGAGACTTCTTTTCAGCTCTGGAGTTTCAAGCCTAGACCGGCCCACCTCAGTGCATGACTGACTATATTAAAATAACGTCATTTCCAATTCAGTTTCTAATGACACTATCACGTCTTTTTTTAAGAAAACAGCTGCTTTAGAAATTTAAATGTTTTTTTTTTCATAAATATTAGAGCATTAAAGGGTAGCTAAATATCCAACACTATTCTTTAAAACATCACAATGTCCTTTCCTGCAATATCTGAATATATACAGTATTCTGTGCAAAATTCTTTATAGATATCCAGTCCTTTGTAACGGTGGTCACACAAAAAATAAAAATAAAATATGTACACCTATATAAGTAATCTAAACAGTATTATATGTTTTAACACAAAAAAAAAAATAAATAAATAAATAAATAAATAATAAAAAAAACTCGAAAAAAAAAAAAATGAACTCGGGTCAGCAGCCTCTAAATCGAACATACTATTGGACCACAATAGCACTGTTATGCTGGTGCACTTGGAATAAAAAATAAGTATTGCAGTGTTATCTGCAAGCCTCTTAACCACCGTATTACTTTCTGTTGATGGCTCAATCTTTTTCCTCCCCTTTTTGGATTTCTGATCAAGTTATGTCAAGTTTATTAATTTAGCTCAACTGATTTTGATCATTGAGCAGGTGTAATTCATTCATTTATTTATTCATTCATTCATTCATTCATTCATTGTCTTGTCGGCTTTGTCCCTTTATTAATCCGGGGTCGCCACAGCGGAATGAACCGCCAACTTATCCAGCACATTTTTACGCAGCAGATGCCCTTTCAGCCGCAACCCATCTCTGGGAAAGCAGGTCTAATATTCATTAATATTAATTATTAGAATTCTTATATTCACTAAGATGCTGCTGTTTGGAGCTGAATGATAGTTACACCATAATTAACCTGCAGACTGCATTTTGCTCAAGGAGCTGCAATAAAATAAATAAAAAAGAGCGTACCTGTGGCAAAAAAAAAAAAATTATAAAAAGAGTGAGGCTATGGTCAAATATATAAATAAATGAAAAAAGTGTGACTGCTGAGAGTGCAAGCAGCTAGGGACACCGGCCTTCGCAGCCAAAAAACGGACTGGCCCACTGGGAATTCTCCCGGTTCTCCCGATTAGCCAAGCCGGGCCTGGACATTAGGCATGTAAAGAAATGCAATCCAATTTTTATTTTCTTGTGGGGCAGTTAAAGGGTTAATGTGGACGAGAAACTTTCTGAATATGATTGAAAGCTCTAGTGTAGTCATTCACTTGTTGGTGAAAGAATTATGTAAAATGACATCCAAAATGCAAATCTTCACACAGGAATGAAAATAAATGGGACAAGGTTCATGCATCTTAATTGGCTAGTGTGGTAAAGCAAAGGCTACTGTAGGTCTCAGTTTATATTAAGTGGCATTACCTAATATGTACTTGCACTAAAATGAATTCATTAATTTATTTTCCTTTGGCTTAGTCCCTTGTTTATTAGGGGTCGCCACAGTGGAATGAACTGCCAACAATTCCGGTATATGTTTTATGCAGTGGATACCCTTCCAGCTGCAACCCGGTACTGGTAAACACCCATAAACTCTCTCATTCACACACTCACACACTATAGCCAATCTTGTTTACCTAATTCAATTATAAACTGAAGGAAACCCACACAAACATGGGGGGAACAAAAATGCCAACTGAGCCACCGTGTCACCAAATAAAATGAATAATCTTAATGAACAATAAAATATAATTATTGTGTAAATGCATGTTATTATATTGTACTTAGCATGATTAAATACCTCCACGTAATTACATCTGTAATTAACTTTTTGTAATTACACCTCACTGTTGATCCTTGCTCAACCCATCTTTAAAATCTTAAACTCATACCAACAAACCTTACCCTAACCATACCTGTATCCCACCTCAACACCACAAGAAGTTTTCTGCAATACATTATGAACACATCTAGTACATTGCATATATTTATTTTTTATGCAAGTACATACTAGTTAAGGCCACTTATTATAAAGTGAGACCAAAAGCTAATTTTAGAATGGAATGTGCCTTTTGTATTTTATGAATTCAGATTGGTTGCTTTAAATCTCTAAATAGAAACAAGACCTTTGCTTTTTGGATGATGTGTTGAATTACAATGCAGAATCTAAATAGGCTGCACAATGCTGAACTGACCGGAATCGTAGCTGATGCGTTATAAGTAAAGAGCAAGGAAGGGTTGTTCATGCAGAGCTGTCCTCAGTGGTTTTCCCTCTCATTCACACCCTGTCTTGTGTGGCCCTTAATTTAGCCCTCATTAATATCACATCAGCTCTTGTGAATTCTCAATGTGGCCACCCAATTTCATCAAAAAGTGGCGGATGTGTGATCGTTAATAGCACAACATTGTCTCCTTAAGTAAATACATTGATGCTCTTGACAGGAATTACATTCTAATAGCACACATTAGCACAGGGAGTGTGAGTCAGGCCCCAGGGGCCCTGCCCAATGGGATTGAAGGACCTTATTAGTGAGGTAAAATCTCTCAGATGGCTGACCAACCCAAGGTCCTGACCCAGATCAGTCAGAGCAGATCCCACAAGAACATTTCTTTCTTTCCAACAGCAAGGGAGAGAAATGTAAAGAGAAGCTAGAAGAGGGGAACTGGAGAGCACGAGGCCTCTTTTAGTGTGCTCAAGAAATTCTTCCTATTCATGAGCAGATGAAGCAGTACTCCAGCTCTTAAGTGTACTGTAGATGAAGGAGAATTTATATCCCTTTAGAATGGTAGTTTTATAAAATACACGATGTTCAAACATGACTCACATTAGACTTTGTGCATTGGACCTGTTGATTCAGACATGCTGGTTCACCACAGGGCCAGATGACTTAATAAAATCCATCACCTTTGAACTCAAAGCGATGCAAAAGTCTTTGCAAGTATGTGTGGCCATGCTTGCTCTGTTTAATCCCTTTAAATTAGCCTTTGACCGTGACCAATATTGTTGAAGGACATGAAAGATTACAGATATGCCTTGATGAAGTCTCTGGATCAATAAAAATTCTTGGCCTCCAGACATGTGTTCATTTAAGGGTATGACAGGTCATTTTAGTGTGCTTGAAGAAAAGTCCAGCTATGATAAACTAAAGAAGTAGATCCAGACCGTAAATTAAAGTTTTTTTTACCTCTTAATTTCCTTTTTACCCGTTAATACCCTTTTAAAAAGGGTTTTTACTAGTGGTTTTCAAACTGGTGTCACGAACCCTCAGGGGACCACAAGGGGGTGCTAGAATGTCCCTGAATTGAAAGAAATTGTACAAAATTCTAAATCAAATGCTGTCATAACAAGAAAATATTGTTTTAAAATTATATTTAAATATCAGTGGGCCAATATTAGATTACTGACAGAGAAAGTTTTTAAAACATTTGGCAGATGTTTATCCAAAGCAACATACATTGCAATGCATTTTAGTTGTATTTAAGGTGTAAACCCATGACCTTGAGATTGCTAGTCCCTTAAGACCAATTCAGCTGGAGGAACATTTGTTTACAAAACAAAGTAATTGAAAAGTGTGAAGTCTTTGGGAGTAAATGTCTTTGAAAATAACATTGAAGTGTGCTTTCAGCATCTAGCTGTTAAGGGGGAATCACACATCTAATTAATATTGGAGTTCAATTTATGAGAACTTAGTGAGTCACAAAGCAGAACGAAGCCTAGAGCGAAAATCGCTAGACTGGAAAATGGTGCTGGAAATAAGGACATTACAAATAGTGCCGTAAAGCAGGATATACTGTAGTCAGTCCTTGAAAGATCTGATGAGAGTCTTTTAGCTGAAGAAGTTGTGTATACGTTTCGTTGAGCATGCATAAAACACAAACTCCATATTCTCCAGTGTTGCTGATTGCTCTCTGTCTATTTCTTTCCTCTCCAGTTCTTTGGTTGCTTGGAGACCTGGAGGAATTCTGGGATGTAGAATGTGGATCCTCTTCATCCTTGTCCATCTCACAATGGATCTGTCTCTGTGTGCACCACCAGGCCAGGGGCTCACCCTCAAACTACTGCCCAGATCAGTGCCCCGCCAGCAGCTGCATCCTTTGTCCACTCTGACTGGCCAGCACTTGAGGACTCTGGGGGTCTTGCATCGTGTTCTTCCCCCTCCCCTGCCATCAGTAGGCAACCACGGGGAGCAGGGAGGCAACAAACTGTTAGGGCGGAAAAGCCGCCGGTCAATTCAGAAACGGCAACTTTGTACGAAGTGCGAATTGACCCCCTCCGACAAAGGGAAGTCGGTAACTTTAGCAGAGGGGAGTAAATCTGATGTAAATCAGCATTTATCTCGCTCACGGAGGCAGCTGAAAGGGGACAGCTATGACTCCCTGGAGGGGAGGACCACCACAGTGGCGGGATTTATTGACTGGGGTCCTACAGGGGCTGACGAGGGGATTGAGGAGGAGGCAAAGGTGACCCCGAATGCCACCGTTACCTCTTTAGCTCCCTCCACCACCACAGTTACCATAACTAGCACTACCACACGCAGCCCCCAAAGGACGTATGCGGTAATTACAACCGCGCATCCTAAGAGGCACAGCACCACACAGCCAAGCAACTCCAGAGTGACTGCCAAACCACCGAAACCTTTTGGGGACACACCAGGTAGGGCATAAATCTGAAACACTTTTTTCCATGTTCCTTTTCTTATGTAAAGGGTGTAAAGCTTGCTCACATCAAAAACTTAAACCAAGGCAGGGTTTGATTCTGATGATGTGATTCATAATCCTTTCCCTCCATAGTGGGAGTTTCAAAGAGGTGGTTGGGTTTGATTCTGAAGGTGTCACCCCTACAATACACCTTAATCCTCCTAATTGCTTCATAGTGGGAGCTTTGAAGAGGTGAAGGATGTACAGCATTGGGCCAAAAAAAGGGGAATGTAGTTTTGTGTCATCTTGCATCACAAATTATTCATGCGCAAATAGTCATGGGAAATAGAATCATCCATCAGTTGTACCTTTCCAATTCCTACCTTCTAAAGGGCCCTTGAAGTGGCCAGATTTGAGCACTTTAATTTGGATTGATCATTTAATACGGCAGCTATGATTGTCCCATATTGAACACTAATTTGCTTCAATACTAACATTTCATTTATTATAAGCACTCTATTCAGCCGTACCATCTGATGCTCTAAACGTTCCTAGGATGGATTTTGATTGGCTGTCATGTTCATTCTGGGTGTCACCTAATTCAATAGATTTTTAAATGTCTTTGTTGTTACAGCCTTTGTAAGTTCGCATTAAGATACTTCATCAGCTTATGTTTGATCATGTATTTCAAATTCTGCAAGTTCTAAGGTGGTGAAATGCACAGAGATATTTTCAGGGGCCGTTGAGGCAGTTTAAGGTTATTCGTGAACATGGCACAGAGGTCTTCGGGTCTTAAACCACAATGCAGTGCATCAAAAACACTGTGTGGGTTGTTTGGAAAAACCGAGGGTGGGAAATACTCACGAAGCTGTAATTGGCACACAACTGCCTAGCATTTTACAGCAAAGAAGGTGGTTAAATTGTCAAAGGGCCAACAGCGTGCATCTAGCTAGCTTTTTTGGTCAAAAATATTGGCTTACTCTTAAAAATCTTCTGTGAAAAACATCAGCTGCTGTGTAAATATGAAAAGAAGCCAGCAAATATGGAATGACATAGCACAGTGTATTGGTCTCAAAAGTTTGGTTTATATGATGTTATGGAAAAGTGGTGATGAATAGAGCTCTGCCGTTTTGAAAGTTTTGAAAGTGGTGTTATTTCAGAGAGCTTTTCAAGAAGGCCTGTAAAAACAAAGAAGAGATGGCAATACATTATTTGCTTTATTTCAGTTTCAATGTGAATCGAGAAAAACAAATTAATAATAAATAAGAATGACATGTAATCCACCTGTTCTACTGCACCTAAACTGCTCTGAGCTAGGAACGAATGATGATTCTTTGCGTGGGTGTCGGTTGCTCTAACAAGGAGGCTTAAGACCATGGCCTCTAACGTCTGTCACTACAGCACCTTTAGAGGTCAGTGGAGTGATGTTTAGCTGCACTTCGCTAGCTGGCCTTTGTTACACTCACCCCCCTTTCCCTCACTCCCATCTCAGATAAAACCCCCACATGTAACCCTTGGGTCCCACTGCACCCAACCCAGTCTGAGCTGGAATCGAACCAGCGATTCTTTGTATAGGAGTCGGTTGCTCTAACAGAAGGCTAAAGACCATGGCCTCAAGAGTCTGTAGCTAAAGCACCTTTTGAGGTCAGAAGGGTGAGGTTTACCCGCATAGCACTTCACTAGCTGGCCTCTGTTACATACCGTACATATTGTGTGTACATTTTATAAAATATATTTTAAATAAACCATACAGTTAAAATGTTAATTTTATTTTAATTCTTTCTGACAGTTTTTGGTTTCTAGTTCATGGATTTGGTGATCCATAAAATGCAAGCCGATGGCTATCAGCCCTTTGAAAGTTAAGAAAAAAAAAACATATACAGGAGAAACTAAATGATGGGCGCTGTTTATATTTTGAGGATTTATGAAAACAAAAATTTTTGTTTATACAAGACTGAACATTATTATGAACGTAATAACATTAACTCTGCAGATTCTCCCAATTGATCTTATCCCATATCATAATACATAAACAAATTGTCAGGTTGATGGGTATTAATTTAGTTTTGCCTGTATATATGATTTGATTCTCAACGTTAGGCCTGTCAAATATCTATTTTTCCTTCTACGGTATATTAGACCAAAGTATAATGCGATAAGTGATATTACTGTCATTTTATGCCACTGATTTTATAATGCCAGAATAACAATATAATAGCATCATAATGCAAGTACACCCTTTCAAAGAACATAATGTTTCATTCTTAAGAATATATCCTTTTATTTTATATATAATATATAATTAATTGTACTTATTTTAACAATTTAATAATTAGGCATCAGAATCAGAATGTAAAAACGTAACATCTTAAACAAATAAATAATAATAATAATAATAAATGTTAACACAAATCTGCAGAAACTAGAAAAAAGTACCAGATCTATTTTAATTTGTTAGAAACTCACATGAAAATAAGTAATTTATAGTAAATACTATAGTGTTTTTTAAGCATACTGACACTGACACCTCTGACAGAGTTAAAATGTTGCTTATTTTTGTTTGTTTTTTTGTGTGTGTGTGTACGGGCGATATATATTGCATCACCAAAATGACTGAGGTCATGGTCATGTGTTATGCAATAAGTCGCTATATTAATTATTGTGACAGGCCTACTCAACGTACTAAAACTTTTTTTGAATCACCATCGCTTCAGCTAAGAAACCAGCAAATCTCTGTTTGAGTGAACTGTCCCCAAATGCATAGCAACGATCACACCTTGTCTGCTAAGTAAACACTGTAATCCTTATATGCTGTATCTTTTTGTTTTTCTCTAAAGCTTTCACAATGTGATGCTCCCTTTGAAGCCTGAAAGTGGCTTTTGTTAGCAAAAATGTTGCCTATTTAGCCATTAAATGACTGGGTACAGAAGCTTCATGATGGTTTTATTACGCCTCTACTGTCACATTTATCATCTTTGGCTCAGTTGCATAATCTAGGCTGGATATCATGTTGGTGTTTGACAGAGTAGCCTACATATGGCAAGCTTAGTGTCTGTCAGTTGTGTTTGTGTATCCTGCCGAGATTATTCTATTCTCTGTCCTAGAAGGATGATGACTGACATTAGCTCTCATGTTTGCCATTAGGCTGCAATCTGTGCTGTGTGCTTGGTTTTGCATAGTATTAGGCTAGTCATCCACTCAATGCAAACTCCTCTGGGCAGAGCAACTATTGTGCTCTACAAATCTGTGGGAAAAAAAGGGGGAATGTCTTGACACTCTCTACAAACTGGCTTGACACTATCTGTGTACGCCATGCATTGAGATCTGTTATAGCTTGCAAAGTTTAACGCACAATTAAGTTTCCACAAGAGCCTGGTTCAGCGGCAGACATAATAAAAGACAGATAGCATGACCCCTAAAACCGACACGTTGATGATTTGCAGAAAAGAAGATGTTTTAATCCTCTAAGTCTACACTACGGATCTGCAGCACTGTGAAGTTATTAATCTTCAAGTTTTTGCACATTAGCATGTCATAGATTACATTAGCTGCGAAGGATATTAACAATAAAGACTCCCATAAAATTAGATTCATGGTGAGTAATATATGAGCGAGAGCAATTTTACGAGTCCCCTGAATGGAAACATACATACGTCCATGCATGTCGAATTATGGTTCAGCACAAAGGTCAAACTCCAATCAAATGTCACGGCCTCATTAACTGTGGGAATGATTAGCAGAATGAAGTCAATCTGGAGTGACGACAGCAGCGTCACTGCATCTAAAGGCCAGTGCAAGGTTTCCCTTAATCTCTAAAGTGCTGGTCTAATAATCCTCTCTGCCTTTTCCCTTCTTCATTGCTTCTGATCTTTAGAAAGGCTACGCAAAAGATCAATCGACTCAAACTGACAGTAGTCCACAGCCACACAGTCTAACAGCTGTAGAGGAGAATTGTAGGTTAGCATTAAATCTGAGTACCATACTGTGTGTGTGTGTGTGTGTGTGTGTGTGTGTGTGTGTGTGTGTGTATATATATATATATATATATATATATATATATATATATATATATATACTGTATACACTTTTACATATACATATATACTGTATACACTTTTTCTAAAGGGTTAGTTCACCCAAAAATGTCAACATTTTTAAAATGACATTTAAAATGTCAACATTTAAGCCCCATTCACAGGCCCGTCCGTAGCCAGCCTGGTTAAAGGGGTGGTTCTTTTTTTCTCAAAAAGTGGACCTTTTTGCAGTTATACGCCTCAGTTTTTATTTAACTATAAGATTTAAATACTGCATTTTAGTGACTTTTAGTAACTTTTTTAGCTTTTAGTTGTACTTTTTTGCTTTGGTGACGGATTAGCACCTTTTGCTGTGAAGTGACACCTGATGGCTGAGGACTCCGCTTGCCATTAAAGCCTTTGTCGGACAGTTTTTAAAAATATATTGTCAAAAATAGGGAAAGGAAGGTCATGTACTGGACAAGTCAATAAACATACAGGACGTCCCGGCTAATGCGGCCAGTTAGCCTATGGATAGATTTTCATCTGTTAGGAAGTTAGTAACTTTTGCCTTAACGTTACCCTTGTTGGCAGTGTTTTTGAACATATGTTCAATATTTTGTGATAATGACGCCGCTGCCTGCCTTTTCTGCCTTGCTCTTTTCGACCAACACCGTTACTCAGTATCCATGTCGCATCAAAGATTCAAATATTACCACTCAGTGGGTTATGTCACATGACTCGCGTCACATTATTGTGGCTTCTAGGCTTTTTGGGATTCAAATCACTGGCCAGAGCAATTTAAAGTTACACTTTATTACAATATATATTGAATATAAATATATTATATTAATTATATAATAAATATATTACATAATATTAAATTACATAATTATAATAATTAAAGGGACAAATTCTGGACCTTTTGGCCGTGGGGGGTGGTTCGTTCGAACCAGTGTTGATTCGTTCGAACCACCCGAACCCCCCCTACAGGCATGATTCA